CTGTCAGCCTCTAAAGTTCTTTAACTGATGTCAGCTGATGATGAAATGCTCCAACCAATCAAAGAAAAAAATCCCTACAAAACAACGAATACCTGAAAATTGTATTTAACTTGAAGTGATGCAGGAACCAATGAATTCAAGAAACTCTTGACGATCTATGTGAGCAGTCTATCTAATATTCACTGCCTTTGGAACTGTTAGGATGCAAACGCATTCGAACAATGTCGACGCTGTTCGTAAACTCTCACAAGCTACCTACGCTAGATATTTCAAAGTCATCAGCAGGAAAGAAACATTTTTCGTCACTGACCGAGTAGGACGTGAGGATACAGTAAGCTTTGATCGACTCAGGGCAGCTTACACTGAGGCAGAATCAATACCCACTACGCCATCCAAACAGCGAAACTCCTTTGAAAAAGACTGCGAACCAGACTTAGTTACTAAAGACACTTAAAAATTTAGGTAATACATCTGATAACAATCGTAAAGTGCTTTTTACGCGAGCTGGTCGGCGTAAAACACTGGCATAGATGGTAGGCAGGCTGTAAGCTGGGTTGATTTGAACTTTCATATTACTTGTATTTCTTAAGCACCGTAGCCTTACTTAAGAAGGAGTTCCATAAATTTGGTTTTTATTCACATATAATCGTATAAGTAGTTGATAAACAAATAGATAGGAAAAAGTGTGTTGAAAATAGTCTCAAAAACAAAACATGGTCCTTTACACTTCCCTTGCTTTTGAAAAGTTTTTAGGTTTAGAATTTTCTCCTCCATGCTAACATTGTTTATTTTTCTCAATGAAAAGTAGAAACAGGACATCGGAAATGGGGTGAAATCGGTATCTGGCGACGCCTTATGAATCGTTCCGTAATTTCAACCATATCAGTTCTCCATTTTGTACATTCACTTGACAGAATCATTATCTGTCTTACACTCGCCCTCTAGGATTGAAGGTTGCCGATATCCCACCAACCTTGTGAGGAGAGGACACCCCGTAGTGCACCTTTCAATGTTTTAAGGTTTTGTTTTAACGTTTAGACATATGGACACCACTTTTACGCTGTCTTGTTGTGCTGCTAACAAGCACAGTCTCGGAGTTTGTAATCTAGCCATATTAGTTAGAAAAACCCTAAATACCTTTCCTTGAATAGTCTTGACTTTTTATTTAATTCAGACATACTGATCATTAGAGAATATCTCTGATTAACAGTCTTCTTGATTTGTGCTTTGTTATCAGTACTTACAAGTTGGGTGGAATGCTGATTTATTTAGTAATTAGGCAGACTACATTTAATAAGGGCTGGCATAGTGTAAGTGACTGATAGCACTGCCAGTACACCTGTTTGAATACGTCATCGACACTCCTTTAGAGTTATGTGGCATCAACAGATTTCCTGTTGACTCTATTATCTCTAATCCTTGTTGTGTGAGTGTGAACTTAAAAAAACATTCAGTTACGGAATTCTCTCCTCGTTATTTGCACACATCCCAACCTCCAAAAGGAAATCGAAGGAATGATTGTAGGTTTCATCCTGAGGACGCTGGACTTGACAAGATTTCGTATATTTTCTCACGAGAAAATCAGTGCTATCTGTCCTAAATATCATCCATGCAACTACTTGATCTGTTTGATCAATGGACTCAGCTAGGTGACCTGGTTGCAGATATACTGGCTATTCAGTAAACGGGGAAATTAGACCCATTTCCTTTAGGTATGTTTTTAGACAGGAACACATCACTGTACATTATTACATTCATCAATCTACTATTCTTTCACATCTCATTCTATCGTAAAGTACGTACGCAACTTCAAGCGGTTTAATTATATGAAGTCGTCATTGTGAATGGGATCTTCAAAATTAATTCTATTCTCTGAATTTTTGTCTACCCTACACTTTACCTCTACTGCATCGTGCGGAAGCTGATTTCTTTTGGTGAGAAAATGTTTCACATACCGAAGGACTATTAGCCTGCCTCGGAAAACCCAAACTTGAAAATTCGGAAAATAATTCGGAAAATGGTCGAATTATGACACTATATTGAAAAGTGGCATTTATCTTTTAACAGTTTCCGGTTCATAAAAATAAGGAATGTCTACAATAGCCTGGTAATTTCAATACATCCAGGGAGTTTTAAACACCTGATTGTCATACCTGCCTCGACTTCAGTTGTTCCGTGAATTGTTGAATTAATTTCACAGGATAATTATCACAACCGTGACATGTTGAGACTGCATGACTATTGGAGATCATGGGCTGATATCAGTTAGAGAAACACTGGAAAACCTGAAGGTACTGGACAGCTTCTTCGTTGTAGTTTGGGACTCTTCAGAAGTGCGCACCCACAGGGAATGGAAACCAGGAAGAAACGGCCGTACATCACTCACAAGTTTTCCAGTGGTTCTCTAACTGATGGCAGCTCGTGATAGATCCTGTAACCAATCCAATCCATGCAAACCAACACTTGATGATGACTGTTACGTCCAGAATTGCATTTTTAAACACCAAAATTGTAATTTATATACCATTTTCGATTTTGTACCAATCTGACCGTTTGTGGTTCATCGGACTGCTGTACATCTCTGTTCGAATCCACGATCTTTTTTAACTGCGAGTCATTTTTGCGCCCAACTATTGATTTCTTGGCGTTAGAATGCTGGATAGCATCACATCTGAATAATTGTACCATGCTTATGTGCTACGATTCGTTTAGTGGAACAGTAATCTTGCAGCTGTCCAACACTGCTTTTAGTATAACTCTATTTGGAATCATATGGTTCTGTTTTTAGATTTCGTCGAGTTTATCGGGAACAGTTTGGTTTTATTTCTGTTTTGGTGGAGGACTGCGAGTCCATCACCTCAAAGGTTAGTCATGCAGCATTCAAAACAATGACTGTTGTTAACAAAATTATCCCTATTGGTTTGATAAATTCTACACTCCATTAAAATTCCTCTGTATGAAGTAGAGTAGAATCATTGGTGAGGACCTAAATGAAAACTAAGTATTTCTATGCTAAAAATTTTTATCTTCTAATTATGATGGAGAAGATTTGTAGCTCATGTGGATGATTTTGATGTGGTTGTGTAATCTCAGCTGGATAGTTAATTTGCGAAGCTTTCATCGCCCTACTAGGGGACATCTTCAGCGCATATTTCAATTTGAAGTGATAGAAATCCAAAAGCCCACTTCAAATTGAAATATGCGCTGAAGATGTCCCCTAGTAGGGCGATGAAAGCTTCGCAAATTAACTATCCAGCTGAGAAAACACAACCATATCAAAATTTTTTCTTCTAGATAGCTAAATGCAGGTTTCATTGCACTGGAAAATCATTTGCACAAATTTCTCGTCCTACGTGACAATATGTTTCAACCTACCACCATTTTATGATACTCAAAATTATCACAGAAACGATTTAGGGTTTTCCATATCGTCACTAACTAATGATGGCAAAAACATACAGGTAATAGTCATGTTCCTTAACAAAGGTATTTCAATTAAAGTCACTCGAATCATTTTTCAGAGGGTTACCATATGGAAATTTGTGTCTACAAATAAGCGTCCTCAGCCGTTATATTGACCTACTTTTAAGCAATCAGTTTTTGTCCTGTTTTTTGGTATACATAAGTAAACCAGATCCTGTAAGAATAATGGAATTATATCAACTTATGTGAAGAAGTTCCTATTCCAAACGGAAGAGAAGTGAAATTCACAGTGCCTAAGAAAAGTGCAGATCTCTATCACTTGGTATACACCACTGTGGTACCAATGACAAAAACCTATAAAATTTTTCATATATTATGTTTCCCCCTTTAACTATGGGACATAAGGTGAGCAAGTAATTTCAGTGTTATCAAACATGAGGGCAACATATTATCGAAGAACATCAGGCAATTTAATTTGTAATGGAACAAAATTGGTATTGAACAATTTATACATCTTTAGTAGTTGAAATTATAAACGCCATATTTGAAGGCCTGAGTTCACAAGATACATTACATGTTTGAAATGTCACAATGAACATAGCACGGCATCTACGGATATCCATCTGATTAGTGGAACTTAGCACATGTGTAAAAGTAGTATTGTGTGTTTACAACAAAGAAGCACTAACCAATCTTGATTTGACCTAGTTGATTTTCGTGTACACAATGCTTAAAACCTACAGTCGTTAGTAAGGTTTCCACTGTCAGAGGCTACATCAATTGTTTCTGACAATGAATTCACCAGGGCTTCACATTATTACAGCTTACAATTGAAGATTATGACTAAGCAGTCTGTCACAACTGCTATTTAGCCCTCAATTTTTAAACTTAGTCTGCATACTTCCGTGTTAGCCACAGTAATATTGCCAGTAGAAATTCACTGGCAAGAAGTTTTCATAACTACGCTGTGGTGCAAAATGATTGAGATTTTGGATGGTGAAACATTAAGAAACACAAAACTTCCCCAGTTTTTAAATTGCAACCATCTCAATTACTAAGAGTTCTATAGCTCTCAGAATTGAAACTGTCAGACTGAAGTGTTTCACATATTACTTTAGGCATAACTCCTTACATATATATCTCATGGGGATATCCAGTGAGAGATGGACGCATGTTGTTTTCGAGGGTAGTTTCGGTTGTTCACAGTATGGTGTGAGAAATGTATTTTCAAGTGTGGACAATCCGACCGTTCTTTGTGTTAAAATGATTAATTTCCCTAAGAAATCCTAAATGGAACATTCAGTGACATTTTCCGGTGAGGATGAACAAAAATGTTTAAATTTCAACACCCAAATACTTACTTTCTCCCATATGAAAGCAATAATGTCCTGCAGGCAGATAATGTATCGCCATAGACCTCAAGCGGATACAACGGTAGAACTCAGACCAAGTATATAAACTACGTAGGTTTGGGAACGTGAATTTAAATAGGACTGTATCATATTGATCTAGACTTTGGGAATATTATGGATTATTATAGCTGGATGATATAAGAATTGACACAATAATTAATGATTATGAGGTAGGTATGAAGTGGTCAGTATGTTCTTGACTGGTGATTTGTCATGTACAGACCACGTTCACCGATGGCTTAGTCTTAACGAACTCACCACCTTGACAATTACTCAATGAACTATTCAAATTTGGTAATATTTGAAGTAGAATACAAAGCAATCAGAAGGTTGATTAAGACTAGTACACCATAGTTTCATGTCAGTGATAATGTGGGAACTAATCATATTACGATGCATGATACATGACCCTATGCTTCCAGCTGGTGTTTGATCCATATAATTTGTCAGAGTATTTTAAATTCATTTAGCATGAATATTAAATACGTTTTTCATTAAATTCTACCGCCTTCTAACATCTTATGTCTTTGAGTTGATGGCAGTATGCTGTTTGCCACAAGCTATGTACATAGTAGGTTTGCATTTATATTGGCTATCTACTAAGGGTTTGTAGTGTACATTGAACCTTTGGGCTTTTGTTTGAACTCACTCACCCGACCTTTGGAACTTCTTCCTCTTTCGATTCATGAATCTCCTGCACGGTTTTGGTTCGCTCTCTTGTTGTGCTTCCATCCGACGCACTCTCCGAGCCTACCACAGTCAGGACTGAACATAAGTGTATAACCTCCTATTTTTATCAAATTTCACATCTTTTTTGTCTAAATATAACTCTGTTCCAGTCACACTTGCCATCTCAAGTCTTTTTATCTTGATTCCGTTCGTTAGTATTCGCACATTATGCAGAGTACAACTAAGGTCATAAAGCGGTGAAGAAGTTTTGTAAGAGTGGTTATTTTAGGTCTAAGTTAAGCCAAGCCTAACTCTAACAGGTTCAATGCATAATCATAGGCATGGAATCCCAGGCTATAGTCAGTGACGGAAAGTTAGAGCGCACTACAGAATGTTTGGGATAAACTTCGAGAGCACTGCAGAGTGTTTGGGGCAGGCTTCGGGTCACTGTCCCACGTTCTGCAGTGCACCCGAAGAAAACACTAGCTGGAATGCCACATGAAACACAGAGGATCATAGATAGCTTTTCTTCGGCCCCAGGCTTGATATAACTCAAGGAAAATAGATGAAGTGAGCACTCTGCATTCTCTGTGATTCCTGAACCATCTTCACGATTAACAGTGACATTAGAAACATACGCAAGTCTCACTACTTGAATACTACTTGCCTTTTCCTCTCTTACCGGAAAATACCTATTTTGTGGATTATCCGCTTGGGAAACCTGATCTTCCTAGCCGGCAAATTAAATTCAACCATTACTTACATATAAAATCTCTGTGTAGTAAGTCCAGCTGTCTCGAACTACTACCAAGGCTTCAGATGCCACTATATGATAGGCCATGGGCTAACAGGCGAATGACGAGGGAATCACCGGAAATGATGCTTTCTATCTATATGGTCTTACACAATGTTCCGGAACTGGAAACTGGCACTGCTTGTGAAAAACACATGCATGACGTTCAGCAATGGAGATTGTTGTCATCTCAGATGGCCCTCTGCGTTTCTGGATCAATCTCGATTTTCCAGCTACTTCGTTTCGCTCATCTCACATTAGCTCCCCAAAGCTGCCTTAGAACTTCAGTGGTGGAACGAGACCTAGGGTAAGTTGGGGAGGCACATCCGATGCTGCGCCGAACCACGGGGAAGCAGCAAATCGGGGTCACAATATGCCTCCAGCCTCGGTGACACTTGAGCGATGCGGTGCTGACAATAACAGTCAGTGTCACCCAAGTGTCCTACCTGAATCCAATGAAGGATAAACAACAAGCCGGTTCCATCGGAATCGATCAACTAGTCCCAATATTAAGCCCCTACCAGCAGACAACGTAACGTCAAATACCCCACAACACGCTGAAGTTGTGAGACCCACTGTCATCTGCCTGCATAGCACTGTTAGAGGGCTGAGAGGGAAAGTAGGTGGGCTCAGAAACCTCCAGTCACACCTACACCTTAAAATAAACATTCTCACTGAAACCTGGCTAACCCCACTGTCGCTGACAACGAAATCGGTGTATGTGATATGGCTTCGGTCAGGAAAGACAGGGATAACAAGGAAGGGGGAGTTACAATATACTTGGACGAGCAACTTAAATGTGTGTGTGCAATGGACCCACCATTTCCTGAACTCCCAGACTCCATTCGGTAACATTTCACCGTAGGCCATAACACTTACAGTGGGAAACTACGCAACCTTGTTTGTGCTATAACAAGGCGCATTATGGTGAAATGCGGAGGCCTTTGTCCCACGCAGAGTGGGCCATTGACTGGGCTGAGTAATCTGTGGAAAAGATCCATCCTCTCTCCGATTTTCAAGGGTGTGGGTAGGTAGAATGCCATAAGTTAAAGACCAGTAGCCCCACTCACACTGGTATCAAAAGTACTGGTAATTATTACTGATGATCATATCAGGGAACACTCCGATAGGAGTAATAGACTGCATAAAGCACAACATGGTTTCAGGAAAGATAGATCCTGTGTAACAAACCCACCATCAGCTTGGGACGATTGGACATTATGGTGGCATATGAATATTCCTATCCTTATGGTCTTCCTAGACTTTGAGAAGGCATTTGACACAGTTCACCATCACCTTCTCCCACACAAATAAGTTAAGCAGGTATAAGTGAGCCGCTTCTGTCATGGTTGAAAGATTATCTAGCTGGAAGGATATTCTGCATTAAAGTCAATCGAGTCAGATTATACTGTTACAGCTCGTCATTACGAGTGTAGCAGGGTTCTATCCTAAGGCCACTGATGTTTTTGACTTCTATCGGTGATCTACTAATCTGCCTAAGCTGCCCGACTCTTCCATACGCTGAAGACGTAAAGATATGGAGGGCGATAAAGTATCCGGAGGACTCAGATAGGCTGCAGGAAGATCTAAAGCTTCTGGAAGACTGGGCGATAGCCAGTGGCATGACTTTCAACCTGAAAAGTGCAAGGTAGTGAAATTAAGCACCTGTAGACTGCAGAATGAAAGTTACACCCTGTGCAGTGAAAGCCTGTCCTACACAACGTCGGAGCGCGACTAAGGTCTAGTTCTATCGGAGGAAATGGACACAAGCGTAAATGACTCGGGGATATAGCGAGGGCATTTGCGGTCATACACTTTACACACAGACAATTAGGTGCACTCACTCCTGATCTTTTTCTAAGGTTGTACAAAACCTACGTCCTACCGCACCTTGAAGTGCACAATATCACTGCACCCAGACTGATTAGAAGAGATGCAAACCTTTTGGAAGAGTCGAAAGACGAACGACTAAAGGAGTGATGGGTCTCCGAAACAAACCGTATGATGAAAGGCTAACAAAATTAGGCCTCTCCTTACTTAGCTACAATCGGCTTATGGGGACTTGATTACTGACTATAAGAAAACAAGTAACCAGAATCACCCAAACAAAGGTGTCCTGCCATTAAGTACGTGGGTTTCCTAGTGGAAATTCCAAAAAGGTAGCTCACCAGAGGGCAAATACTCGAATGCGCCTCCGTTTCTTTTCATTGCGGGCTTGCCATCCCTGGAAATCCTTACTGGCAGATGTAGCTACGGCACCGTCTGTGGACACCTTTAAATCCAGGGCTAGAAAATCATGCAGCCATATGATCACAAAGCCTGTATCCTGTATGTCTTACTCTAGCACATGTTTATCACCTCTCTTCTTACCTTCCATTTAACGCAACATTTTGTAATTCCCGCATGAATTTGACTGACTATAAGTATATTGTAGACTATAAATTAGACTTGAACCAATATATTGTAATCTATTCTAACAAAGTTTCTAGAGGTTTTTTTCCATTTTTTTCCAATTTTTAATGTCAAAAAGCAGTGTTCCATTTCAAATTGCACTCGTCGAATATGATCATGCCCGTACAAACGGTATGTTAATCATGTGAATGCTTAATTTATGTGAAATATATATATATGAGGACTGCGTCCAAATGGCCCATCCCCTTAGAATCCCTGCACCATTAATGGGTAGATATTCAAACTCATTTATTTACTACTCTGCACTCTCTCCTGCCTTAATCTCCTGGCTACTCCAACTACCACACTCACACCTATTATTATTGATATTATAAATATATATGTACATATATCAACTTCAAATTTAATTAGCTGTCCGTTTTTACTTTTTCTTTATTTCTTTTTCTGTCTTTTAGTCTGAACAACCTACACTAATTATATCTCTTCTTCCAACGACGACACCCGACGACTAGCTGGCAAAAGGATCAACTTCATACACAGCAGCAAAGAAGCGTTAACATACTGCATACTACAAACAACATATAATAAATCCTAGCTTCGGAAAAGTCTGCAGGTTGCGACGACATAAGACCATCCGTCCTGAAGCAGTGTTCAGAAAGTCTCTGCCAACCCCTAAGCGATCTGTTTCAACACTCCTTTGATGTAGGGAAACTTCCATGTGAATGGAAACGAGCCATCCTATCCCCTATCTTCAAGGGTGGTGACCGGCAGAACGCGACCAGTTACAGACCAGTTGCGCTACTCCCAGTGATATCGAAGATATTGGAAAGTCTCATTGACGACCACATGAGAAAATACTTCGACGGGACTAACCTACTCCATGAAGCACAGCATGGTTTCAGGAGAGGAAGATCCTGTGTGACGAATCTTCTACTAGCTTGGAACGATTGGACACTATCCTGGGACGTAAAGGTACCAGTCCATGTGATCTTTCTCGACTTTGCGAAAGCATTCGACACAGTTCACCATGGTCTGCTCCTTCACAAAATAAGCAAAGCGGGTGTTTCTGGAGCACTTCTCGCATGGCTGGAAGATTATTTAGGCGAGAGAGAATTCTGCACCAAAGTCAACCGCATCCGATCATCCTGGCACACCTCGGCATCAGGGGTTCCTCAGGGTTCTATCTTAGGGCCGTTGATGTTTTTGATTTTTATCAACGACCTGCCCTGTCAACTGAATTGCTCTGCGCTTCTTTACGCTGACGACGTAAAGATTTGGAGAGCAATAAACTCATCGGAAGACTCCGACAGATTGCAGGCTGACCTGCGAACGCTGGGGGACTGGGCTCTGGCTAACGGAATGCCTTTCAACTTAAAGAAGTGCAAAGTAGTGCAACTTCATTCCGGCAGGTCACAGAGTGCAAATTACACCCTTGGTGGCCAGAACTTGAGTTGTGTGCCATCAGAACGCGATCTAGGCCTTATTTTAACAGAAAAGCTAGACACCAGTGTAAATTACACGAGGGACGTCGCCAAAGCTTACGGCACTTTACACTTTATGCATAGGCAACTGGGAGCTCTTACTCCTGAACTATTCCTAACGTTGTATACGACATACGTGAGGCCACTCCTTGAGGTGCATAATATCATTGCTCCTCCGCTACTCAAAAGGGATGCTAACATGCTAGAAAGTGTCCAGAGACGAGCGACAAAATGGGTGATCGGCCTCCGCAACAAATCATATGAGGAGAGACTGAAGAAATTAAGTCTTTTCACACTTAGTTACCGTAGTCACAGGGGAGACCTCATCACCGTCTATAAGATCCTAAATGACCAGGCCCATCCTAATAAGAGCATCCTGCCATTAAGTGATTATAGGCTTCCACGAGGTAACCCGCTAAGGATAGCACACCAGAGACCAAGGACTCGAGTGCGTTCACATTTCTTCTCGCTTCGAGTTTGCCGTCTCTGGAACGCTTTACCGGCGGCCGTAACTACAGCTCCATCTGTGGAGACTTTTAAGCGGAAGCTGGACAATCATGCAGAAATGCATGGTTTGTGTCTCAATGGCTTACCCTCTTAAAATTTGAAACCACATTGTCAATGGATAAGCATACAAGCTAAATCCCCACGACCCGTCCTGTCTTCTCCCACTGTACCGACTACTCTATCTTTTCTTTCTTTCTTTATTATTTCACTTATCTCAACCTATATTATCTACACTACAACCTATTATTATCATTATCATTATTATTATTATTACTCTACTTTTATGACTATACCGAATGACCAACGGGTGTTAGGTCAAACTCCATTCACGGCAGAAGCTGAGTCCTAACATACTGCACACTACAAACCACAATCTTCACCAATCCTCGCATCACTCCTCCTGGAGTCTACCAGAGCAAAAGCAGTCGAGTGGCGGGATTTACTACGCATAAGTTCACCGAAGATCTGGAACCTCTACCTTAAAATCAAGAAGCGAGCTCAAAGAAATCACTGGTTTATACTAGCTCGTAATCAGGATATTGGATATTGGATATACTCCCTTTGGAGTCAACCTAAGTCACGATATTGGAGTGGTGGGACGAACCACGCAAAAGTTTACCGAAGACCAAGGACCTTTACATCACAAACAAGAAGCGAGTAGAAAGAAATCAAATTGGCTTGCACTAGTTCGTAAAAACGACATCGGATATTAGGTGAACATTGGATATTGAAGTAACCACTTATGCACTATTTCAAAAGTGTCTTGGATAACCTTGAAGACCCGGTGATATAATTGAGGTCGGGTTTACATATCACTTATGCTTTCTTGAGTGGATGGAACTCAATATTTGGTATAAATTGACGTTGTATTTTGTTTCGTTGATAGTTTTGATCGTGGCTAGGCAAAGTTTAACAATAGCGTCCTGGTAATAATAATTTGCTTTATTCCAAAACAGTACTTGTGATACAGAATGGAATTCTCAGCATTTTTACTACAGTATTGCATCCAGTTAGTACATTATCAATAAATAGAATTCTACATAGATTAAGGAAATCTCAGTTCATCATGACAACAACATATTGGGATGTAGCGGTAGCAAAGCCAAAGCTGAACAGTGTTTGAAGGTGTTAGAAAAGTAGGTAGTAGTCGTCGAAACCGCGAAGTAATTCAACCGAGTGCTCTTGGGGAAGACTGCACAACAGGATAAGAAAGATAAATAATTCAAAAAAAACAGCTCATCTGTATTCACCTCGGTGAATACATGTATGGGAATTAGTCTAACTTAGCAACTACTATTATTATTATCTCTTTTCTTTCGACGGCAATACCGGAGGACTAACTAGTGAAATGATCAGCTCCATTCACAGTAGTAACAGTCCTAAAGCACCTCCAAAGCCTCAGGATGGTCGGGGGTGGGTGCCTTGCGCTGCGGGTTGGCCACCCCTCCGCACACCTCTTGAAATGCTCCCATATGACCGGGCGTCTTACATAGCCTCTCCTGAGGAAGTCCTACTCACTGCCTTCACGTGGCGGAGGTGGTTTTCACCAAAGTGAGAGGGCGAAAGCTGATGCCCGGCGCTCTTCACCGGGTTGACTGTCCATTGGATGACAGTCTAGGGGAGATGGCTAAACCCTGATTCCAAACCTCCAACGACTGGCGTATGAAGCTCACTGGAGCTCACCGGCAGACGTATGGACAAAGGGCTTATTGGATGTCCTGGATGTCTGGCCCCATTCTAAAAGGCGTATGAACCGAACTCCGGTCACCGGCTGCCAATGGATATTGGACTCCCTACTCCACTCCTACTGCCTTGTAGGTCACACTTGGTTGTGTAAAGGCTAGAGCTGCACTCTCAAACAAAAGACCGAGCGATTCTGGGGACATCACTGGTACTAAATTCCCATGAAACTTCATGAACTCTATGTTCATGAAGCTGGCTCATCCTCCCGTAGGAGATAGCCGAAGTAAAGTAAGTAGTATACTACAAACCACATATAATTAATTCCAGCACTACTCCTTTAGGAGTCAATCAAAGCTACGGCAGTCGAGTGGCAGGATGGGCTACTCAGTAGTTTACCGAAGATCAGGAACCTATACCTCACAATCAAGAGGCGACCACAAAGAAATCATATTGGTTTATCCTAGCTCGCAAAAACAATATTGGATGTTGGATAATCCTTATTTTAACTGGGACGTATTTTTAAGTCATGTTAGAGAAAGATACACTGTTTGATGTATTTTCATGCATTTTATTGTAAATATACGTCATTTTTTGCAAAAATTCCTCATTTTTGTGGTTGGTCGGCTGAAGGTCACTCATGCGTTTCCATCCCTTTGGACGCTGCTGTTGGACAGGCAAAGTCGAACAATAGCGTCCCAGGAGTGCAAACGCACGAGTGGCCTTCAGCCGACCAATAATAAAAATGAGGAATTTTTGCAAAAAAGATGTATATTTACAATAAAATGCATGAAAGCACATTACAAAGGGTACCTTTTTGTGTAATGATCTAAAAATACGTCCCAGTTTTAATGAGAAGTCTCAGTTGCTAGTTGAACTAGTCTGACTGTGATACCAAGTAAACCCAGTTAAATCTGGCCGTTTTCACTGGTTGTCCAATTAGTGAATGCACTGATAAAACATGAATAGAGACAGTTATACGAGCGACTTTCTAATCCCGTAAATAATACTTTCATTGTGTGATGTATCCAGTAAACGAGTTATTATGAAATCAACATCATTTGTTTACATTTCCAACGATTTCAAAGGTAATCAATTTTCACTGCTATCTAGGAAGTGCTGATACGTATATCGACTACAAGTTAAGTTTCACAGCCTTACTGTATTCTTTGTATAAACTAATATCATTTAGCGTTGTCTTGCATCATAAAGAAAAACGCTAACAGTATTTAAATCCAAGTACCTGAGGATCGATTTTATGGTGATTTTTTTTATTTTATTTTCCGAAACCCCAGATTTCAAAGCAATCAATCTTTGCACCAAACGACTCAGTCATGAAAAATGACTATGACAGTAATCTGTCTTTGGCAACTGGGGGTTTCGATCACACTATAAAAATGTGGCAACCAAATACTGGAAAATGCATCCAAGGTTTCCAACATAACGAATCCCAAGTTAGTTTTAAAATCGTACTTAAATGTGAAGATTTTAGGTAAACGCCTTAGCATTTTCTCGCGATGGGCATTATATAGCTGCTGCTGGCTATGGGAGAGTTCGTGTTTATGATGTTCAGGGTGCTGGAACACCTTTCGTAACGGTTTCAGACTTTACGAAAAATGTAAACACTGTTGGATTTAATGACACAGGAAACTGGATGTTTGCAGGTGCAGAAGATCGTGTAGCAAAGATTATAGATTGGCGAGCCGGTGGGAATATATGGATATCTCGTATTTATCAGGTAATCATAAGCATCTCGTTGGATTTTAGTGTTTTAAGAAGTATTATGTTGTAAAATACAACCAGTGGATTACCTGCGCTCTATAACTAATAATCTACAGAAAGAGGCAACGTTATCATTTTTTGGATTAAACACGAAATTTTCTATTCAGTAAACTAACATAATTTCATATTAATTTGTTTATCAGACATATCACACAGTGAGACAGTATTATTTACTGGGTGACGTTTCAAACACAATTTATTGTTCGTAATCATATCAATTATAACCTTTCGTCTTATAGTTTCCTTTCTTCCTTCCTGTTCGTCTTAGGGGTAATATAATTTTCCAGATATCTGGGAGAGGTGTTGAATCATTTCTATTACATGTGTTTGCATTCGATTCAATAAATAAAGCTTCCGCTATCAATCTCTCCCCCCCCAACCCTGTTAAATAAACTTAAGACTTGACAATTACCCTCATAAATCAATCAATGAGTATGTAGTAAAATATAAAAATAAAATAATAACAATTATGGTAATAATAATAATAATGGCGATATACATGACCAACATGCACAGAATGATGATAAATCCGATAGTAAGGAATTTAAATCATCAGTTGTACTTCCGTGCAAAGAAGGAACCTCGAAAACCTTACGGAGAATTCCTAACAGTGCAGGAATAAAAGTGGTATTTAAACCCACAAACTTACTTAGAAACAAGTTTTGTCGGTTAAAGGATCCTGTGGATCCAATTAGACAGACCAGTTTAGTTTATCTCATACCATGCAACAATTGTCAGGTCAAGTACATAGGTGAAAGTAGTAGAGGAGGGTTAGTCAGACTGACAAAGCACAAAAATCTAGCAAAATCTTGAATAGTTGACCCAAATAAGATAAGGAATCTGGAGAATAGTCCAGCTATAGCACTACATGCAATTACACACGAGCATACAATAGGATGGGATAAGATGACAGTTTCAAAATCTAATAAAACATGGTGGAAGGATAAATTGATAATAGAAGCTTTATTCATCGAATCAACTGCAAATACGTGACATAGGAATGATTGAACACCTATCCAAGGCATCTGAAAAATTCTACTATCCCTACAGTGAATGGCAGGGAATAAAGCAAACTATAAAAATGAAGTTTCGAGGTTGTGTAGTTATAATTGATATGATTATGAACAAGAGATTGTGTTTGAAACGTCACCTAGTAAATAATACTGTCTCATTGTGCGATATATCTAACAAACAAATTAATATGGAATTACGTCCTACCACAGTACCCAAATTTTACACATAAAACTAGCTTAATAATTTTCGTGTATGCAGCTATTTGTTAAGTATAGTATGATAAATGTTTAGGTGAAGTAGCGTTTAAGTAGTGTGAGCGTTTGTAGCTTAAGATGCGGCTGTCAGTCTGGAGTCGTATTCTGAGTGAAATTTGTTTATCAAACAGTTTTTCCTGTGTAGCCTGTCCGCTAGGCATATATTTTTATCTAAACATAATGAAGTAAACACGAAAGCCTCGTTTATTTTTGTTTGCATAAATGAGCACCAGACAAACAAAGCAGACTGGTTTTTACTGCGAACACTCATTAAATATATATGTATATATAACTCTTAACCAGTAACTACCTCAATCTTAGTTGCAATAAAAAGAAATTGAGAGGACTCGAGTAGTGTGAATAAAATATCATGCTAATGGAGAACTTTAAGCTCTGATGGTACAGAACTTCAAATTTCCTGATTGAGATCTGCAAGACTGTCGCACTCTTTTGTTTCTGACAAAGTTAACAAATAGGCCACATATTTTTAGTCTATTTCAAAAGAGTGAGTCGGTTCCGACTTTGTTTTTGTCCTGTCAGTGCTCATAACTCACTTAGTAACTAAATGAAGTGACGTAATTGCGAATGGAGATTACAGATATGGAAGTAAATTAGAATTATATATGTCCAAACCAAGTTCACTTTTAACAGTTTGAAAAAATTTGGGCATTGGGTATATGATATTCATAATAATGAAGGTTTTTGTATTTCCCAACGAATGAAAAACAAAACGATATTGTTTTTAATGACGTTTCGCTATTTGATGCTAATAGCTTTATCAAAGTATTATTAAACCGAAATTTACAAAATCTCAACATATACATAACAAAGAGTATAATAATACTTTGACAAAGCTATTAGCATTAAATAGCGAAACGTCAGTAAAAACAATATCTTTTTGTTTTTCATTCATTGGGAAATACAAAAACCCTCATTATAATGAAGTAAATCGGGAGTTCAAAAAAGGAAACATAAATAATAGTGATTTGACACGGTATGTCAACTGGTTGTATTAGCCATAGCAAAAGCGAAGGTCGGACATATTGTTTCTGGACACATCAGTAAGCTGAATTCTCGGGTTGCTGATACCTCCGCTATGCCCAGACACCTTGATTCCATTCCTTTTTAGATGTTTTATTAGACCTGGTGTGCGTTTTTAAACGACTTCTCACAAAGTGGTCTGTTATCAAACTGAAAGCATAATTCTGCTCTACGTTTTCTAAAGATGCTGGACAGTTTTCAGGAGCTTGTTGTACAAGCAGAATACTTAGTATGGGAGATGTAATCAGCCCCACAAGTATGTATGAGAAGTGAGTCAAAAATCTGGTCCAAACATCTATGGACTAAAAATTTACTCTGCGTTAACTCTAACTAAAAGTTAGACTGACAGTTAGTCAGTTTTATCCTTTTTAACGCCTACTTCTAGGGTCAGAAGTGTGTACAAATTTTGCTGGAAGCAATAAATTAGAAACTATAGGAATGTACACGTTTACGTGGCCCAGTGCGTTAATTCATCTTTCACGTGCTGATCGAATAGTTTCTTTCAGGAGAATAATGCTCAAAACTTGGAATAGAGCATGTTTTACTTAAATATCTTGATAACCATTGTCGGGGAACGTCTGCTTCAAATTTATCACTGACAAAAATGTCAGTTATTTAAATTAAAAGGACTCTCAATAATTTTTGCATTTTTCATGTTCTTACTTAGACATCGTCGAGTATTAATGCCATGTTGCTTCATCGTAACCAGCATGAAATTATTATGGGTACAAACAAAGGGGAAGTTATAATATGGGATCTACGTAACAATGCTGCTAAATCTATATCTACTAATACCTGGAATGAACCTATTCATAGTCTTTCTATTGACCAAGATGTAACCTCCTTAGCCGCCGTTAATTCAGATGGCCAACTTATTGTGTGGTCTCTAACTGGTGATTCTGCTTGGAATCCTTTAGAAAAGGTTTGTCGTTTTATATATATCAGCATATGCACTCAGTTAAATCAATCTTTTGCTCACAGTCTCCGCATATGAACACGTCTATATGTTATCACTTTTGTCATCCATTCTACGTATAAGCTATTCCATATTGCTTCCACTCTAAATAGACCATTCACTCATTAGTTCAATTATTATTTTACGTGACTCAGATCGATCAAAGTCAGCGACTACCTTCCCTAGGTTAATGTTTCAAAAGGAGAGTTAAGATATAAATATCCTCCCGGTAGTGATTTTCACAACTTGATTGACATGAACTCATAATCTCACTAGGAGACATCATGAAAAGGTGTTAAACATGCCTATGCATAAATAATGATATTTGAATATCTTGTTCTCATATATGTATCCTCAATGGAATGACTACTGTAGCTTTACTCGGTGATTTTTATCTGTCTATTTCAAAAGTCTATCTAAAGTACAGTATGAAGTAAATGTCTATTTCTTAAAGTTTTATTTAGTTTATATGATTAACCAGTGGTTATTAGAAGGATGTGTAGTTGTGTCGGTATTTATGAAGGGTCATATCACTTTTATAATAAAAATATACACGACATTTTGTATTATTACATTCACAACATTAAGGCGACTCTTTCAAAAGAACAATGTTATCTCCTCACTAAGGCTAGTATCGATTACTGAAGGTTACCGTTTGCCCATACTTAGATCTTTGGAAATAATTCATAGACGTGAATGATGCTGATGAATTAGACCTATTTTTTCATATAGTAGTTAGAAGCATAACAGTACACTGGCTTCTCAAGATCTGGCATTTCTTCAGTGGATAGATGTATTATCAGTGCTAATACTTTGAAACTGTTTTCAAGCTCTGTTAACAAATAAGCTTTGTACGAGATTGTTACTATTCTCGTATTACTACATTAAAATTCAAGGAATATATTTTGCACCCGCTTTAGAATTTCTCAGTCCATTGTTGAGTGATAGCATTCTTATCTAACGTTCACTACTTTAAACATTTCGGTATTATGCATTACACCAGCGGAAGATAGTAATTGCTTGTTATTTCATGGGTTGAAGTCATTGAGATCTGTTATTTTCCACTATCGACTTTTTCTATCAAATTGGTTTCTTTGTGTGTGTGTGTTTTCAGCTCTGTACACAGACAGACTTCATTATGGCCTTTTAACGCGTCTTGATATTATTTTGGATTTCATTAATAACCACTGCTGAAAGAATATAAGGATTTCAGTGACAGACAATACTGAAACCTCCGAACAAGGAGTTAATCAAAACTTTCCAATTAATAAAAAGAAGAAACGCAAAAAGGGGAATCACAAGAATATGTTACAAGTGAATATTCCTTCTAGCCGGGAATTAAAAACGCCTGTTTCAATAGATAATAGTAGCTTGGAATTATTTTCATATTTGTAGTTAGCCATCTCACTAGTGTGTGCTTTGTACTTGACAACTGACAATTTGTATGATAGTCCGAACACACATAACATCAAATAATCCATCTCAAGTGTTTATGCTAAGTTAGAATCTGTCTGCGTTTCGTACTTTTGACATGACACCAGTCAATGAAATCCACAGCAGTTAGTTTAAGCCACGTACGAAGGTGTAGACTTCCCGGTTGGGGTCCTCGGGACGGCAAGAACTAATGCAGGCTCTAGACAATTGGTGATATGGCTCAAAATCATTCTTAATGGCTGCCACAGATGCATCCACTCCTTGTGACTTACAAATATCCAATAGAACTATATTGTTCTTCGTTATTACTATTCCTTTGTCTCACACCTCCGTTTACTGTCTCTAATATGCATTTCTCCTACTTTTTTCTCTTGCTTTGTGTGCTACATGGAGTGTGGCGACTTGAACTGCTGCACATCGGTGCAAAGTTCTATGTTGAAAAAAGACAGACAGACTTTTGACATGGTTGTATAGTGGATAAAAACAACGATTTTGTTTGATTATTTATTAATTTGCTAAATTTTGGCTTGATTCAGTGTAATCCATTGTACGCATAATAGCACATACTTTATAAACTATTTGAAATAGAAGTGTTTTGAATGGGATTTTTTAGAATTCATTCCTACACAAGATGAATATACATTTCGTTTTGGTCGACTAGACCTCGTATCATATTGGGCAAGTTGTGTTACTTGTTTCCAAACACATTATTAATTTTCTGTAATATACCAGTGGTTTAGATGTATCCTAAATTAGATGTATATTTGAACAAAAGCATATACTACTGACTAATTGATACTAGTAGTCGTATACCATCCATGTTAACTAGTAGTGCTTATTAACCAGATCTGGTTGATCTAAACACACCTGACAGCCGTTTTGCTCGTTCGGGGCCGACCTCATCATCGGTGTACCCCGTCCGACTCAGTTCAAACCTACCGATTTCTGCCTATTTATTCGGTGTAATCACCTAAAATGTTTATACTGGTTATTCGCATTAACGGAAACACAAAAACAAAACCATAATTTCTGTACGAATGTGACAATCCAGAATCCGTAAACTGTGCGATAAATTTAACCTATTAACGTTGAAGCATTTTAATGCTTATTTGTTATCCTTACAGCATCGGCAGAAAGTACATTCTTCATTTGCTGTGAAAGTTCAATTTTCGCCAGATAGTACCTTGATAGCTACTGGAGGTGGTGATGGAAAGTTTAATATCCTGAAAACAGCTGATTTCAGTGTGGTTACAAGCAGAAAAGGCAGTGAAACTGGTCATCATTGGGTATGGGATTGTGCATTTTCTGCTGATTCTCGTTTTTTAATTACTGCCACATCAGATGGAATTGCTCGTCTGTGGAATTTAGACACAAATGAAGTACCAGTCAAATACAAAGGACATCAAAGAGCAATTACTTGTATGGCCTTCCGTGACAATTCTTTGAAAACTGCGTGATTCGATTTTCGTTTTTAATATTCACTAATATTTTCTGTACATAAATGTAGAGATATTGATCAAGATCGAAGGCACTTTTCCTGTACCTGTATATATTGTTTTCATTTTAATAATTTTTGTTTGTCTAGTAAAGAGGAGGATAATCGACAGTATCATTATATCGTTTTTGTTTTAAAATTATTTCACCTACTTCTTTTGTACTTTTCTTTGTTCTGTTAATCTAAAATTCCCTTCTTGGTAAGTATCATTTTTCAATCGCTATGTTATTTTGTTTACTACTTCATGAAATCAAGAATTTAGATACAAATTGAACTGAAACCCTTTCTTTATACACTATTCATGCTCAATCCGCTCACATTTAAAATGCATCGGTTCGCTTCTAAAACAGTCGTATCTTGCCAAGTGGATTTTAGTTTTGAAGAACAATTAACTGCAATTCAAATAAAAATTTGGACCCGGATTTTTATTCGAACTTTTGTAATCATCTTGTACTTCTCATTTTTGCACAAGAAATGTGATTGTCAGCTGTCAAACAAAACATGGAATTTGTTTATCAGACCAACATCTTAGAATGTATATTGTATGAAATGTAGTCATTTTTCCTACTTTTCAGCAGATCGCTTCTTACAATATAATGTTTTTGGCTTAGAAAGTAAGGTCTGCTTAAGAATTCTTAAGATATTTCTTCTGTCGTAGAGGTATATCTCTTTATAACTTAGTACACTTTTGTTAAAGTATTCATTTCTATGATGGGAGAGCATTTGTATGGTGGAAGTCGTGAACTATTCTAATGACAAGGTGGGTGTCTTAAGACAAATAGGAGTAAATTAAGTCAATCAAGCATCACTCCGCATGAATTGAAGAGACAAGTGTGAGGGGCATTTTTCCTTACCAAAGTCTAAACCTAATTAGAGAAATAAGGATCGTCAAGCATTTACAAATTATGGACTTTGCAGATTGTGTCCGGAGCGTTATCCATCAGACTACAGGTAATAAGATGAAAAACATTAGGTATGCGCTGAAATGAATTCACTATCCTCAAATTTTCTTATACGTAAATAAAATCATAGATAGTGTTACTGGACTGTGAATACCATAGCAAATGGTGAATAACCAATGGCTTGTGTCAATTTTGGTCGAAATCTCATCTCTGGGATAATACCATCCGAAAAAGTAAAACCCAGCTAACAAAATGTTTGGGTGCACTTTGACATCTGGCGCGCATGTCCAGACTGGAAAACATCAGGAGTTCGTTTTTTTAAAATATTAATTCCTAAACTACTCAGGTTTATTAACTTGAACATAGGTCCTGATAATACAAATAAAGATTATAAAATGTAACAAATGAATTTGAGTATATGGAATCCAAATACTGGTAAATCAAGTCAGTTTTCTTAAGAGAACTTACTGTAGAGTGGTACCTTAACAAATCCAATTAGAGCCAAACACTAAGATCAAGTGTTTTTCTTAGTTATTTTATCACTACCAGCAATGTGCTCTAGAATTTGATCCCAAATATACATTTAGTATTATTATGCATGCGCTAATAAAGGTGGTACTTTGAATTCAATTTCCTAGGAATCTACATGCTATAAGAACACTAGTTGACGAACTGAAAGTATGCACACGATGTAGTCCTTTTAGATGATGACGGTAAATGTAGTCTTTTGAGTAAATATTTTGGATGAGCTTCATCCCTGGTAGGTGAAAAACGGTCCTAACAGACCGGTTCCGATCAACAGCAAGTTCAAAGAGAAAAGGAGGGGAGTGACTGATCGTATTGATTAATTCGATTATCAACTCTAATGGACCGATTGCTGACGAAATCTTAACATATTTAGGCTTGTACTGGACAATAATATTTTTGGTGCTCACTAAGTATCTGTGCTCAGGCATGGTCACCGAAAGAAACTTTCAGAAAGATTAAAATCTCCAAGCAAAAAGGACTTCATGCACGTGCTTGCATTAAGTAGAGCGATATGATGATGCTGGGGTTCGATGTGTTGTTGGTTGAAAAAAACAATCCGTCAATGAGATCGTGAGTCTTTATGGGCTTATAGTGCTTAGGCCTAGACACCACCTTTCTGATAAGCAGTATTGGCTGAAGTGGGACGAAGTTTGAAAAGATTCACGCGTAAGTATGTCAAACAAAGCACTAATTTTCCACACTGTGGATTATTAGAATGAGTAACGTGGATAGGTGTAGACTGACTTTTTAAAGTTTTCAGCATACCAAGTACTGAATGTTAGTAGTTAGGAACGCTTGATGGAGTGGGACAGATATATGCACTTCTTATCAAAATGTCTATGGATGTCTCCACTACTTTTTAAAAAAGCATACTTCACCTGTTGTAATACTACTGCGTTTTGTTTTCCTTTAGGAGTACTTTCTAGATGTGTAACAAATGGAACCGATGCACATCTTCGTAAGGTTCCATGCTGATTCGCTACAGTAATATGAGTTTATTTAAGCTCAGTTACTCGCGGTAGATTGTTCATTCACCAGGCTAAAAGCCACACTTATAGTGTGCGGGTTGACAATACTACCTAGTTGCGCAGAATGGAGTTGGACTCAAACTCATGACCCATAGACTGAAAATCATGTGTCAAAATCAATGCGAAACACTATTTGTCTAATACAGCGGAAGGTTATATTTTACCATACAGTAGCTCTATACAGATAGCGTTAGACTGCTTTTCCAATATTGAGAAGTCAACTAAAGTGTAAAGATTTTATTCTGTTAAAATAAGTTCATCTAAACTCCAGTCTTCAAAACTCCCATCAGGAAGATAACGTCGAATGACGATAGGGATTTTGTTAGCTCTTAACTCTTTTTCTGCAATTTTTAGGGGATCCCGTTCACCATCAAGTTCAACCATAACAGGAGCGGACATTGACAACTGAAGGGCACGCGCTCCCAAAACTCTAGCACGTTCATATTTTGTGAGATATGGAGTAGTAACTCGTTTGCTTTTTTCTACTGGACCAACAATAGCCTGACCTGATGGCAGTCGCGGTACTTCATCAGCAGTGATATAAGTAACGCCATCTAAAAATTAAGAAATAATTGCGTTAAACATCTTAAATTATCAACTACAGAAATGGATATTGCCATGTTGAGTTCCAACATAAATTGCATAACAGAGTGCACTTTATAAAAAGTAACGCAACGGTCTCATTGACACTTCGAATACACTTCTTACATCCAGCTTAACACACGGTTGGTCCGAAAATCACCTCACTTACGTATAGCCACGTAAATGAGATCAACTAGGTTGCATCTAGCCAGTTCAGACAACTCGAATAGTAGCGTAATCCTCCCAGTTCTCCTTAATTTCAATTGTCGCAATAAAATATTCGACAGTACACGTTCGTTTTTCGTCGATATCTGCTAGCAGTGGTGATACGGAATGAGATTTCCTTCGGGTCAACGTACTTGCCACAGCTGATATAGTAGATCAGTCTGAGGACTATATTCTTCAATAGCTACTTCTTTCATTGTCAAGACAGTAGTCTTGGAGAAATGTAACAAACGTAGTGTTACGAGGATTCTGTGCCGAAATATTGTAACCGGCTTCAATTTTAGTGAGTTCTTCACCAATCAATGCCAACCTTATTCATGAAATTTTTCACATCCTCCGAACGCCTTCAGATAACAAGGACAACTGGTAACAAACTACAAAAATCAACTAAACATTGCTACGAATTTCTTCAGAGATTCTAACCTCAATAAACCTAATTTGCGTCAGAGTAAATCCATGAATTTGTGTATTTCTTGTAAAATTATTGTTTAGAACGCTTAGTAATTCATGAGAGACTGTATTTCTGCGTGAAGTCAAGTTAAGTACCAACAAAGTTGTCGCAACACAAAGAGTGGCATATATTTGAGTTTTCTAAGAAATTCACTGCAACCACGGTTAAGTTTTTGAGTATCACAAGATCAAACTCCTCTGTTTTACCTAAGCTTTATATAAATACATACCAAGAAACATACAGTTTTAGGGATCCAATAACCGCCGCTCCAGATGAATCGGGTAACACTGTCACTACACTCCTTATTAGGTAGTCAGTAATCGTAACTTAAAGTATCATATCTCCTCAAAGTATGAAGGAATAGCAATTATAAGACATATTGTGTCTTGCTATTTCTCGGGGCAGTGGGAACAGAATTACTCGCGTTTGAAGCACGCACCTGTTACGTAAGAAACAACAGACTGTGAAATGTGATAATTTTTTACATTAAGACTAGGTAGATAAATTGAGGTTTTTTGAGATAATTCAAGTAGGCAAATCAAAGTCTTCATGTTGACAGTGAAATATAACGTCAAAGACTGACCTTACTATAACAAAACATGGTTCTCAGGAAAAAGCTGAATACTATCTATCTTTATATAGTGCATATCCAAATATGGTTGGCAAAAAACTAGGATAAACAACACTATTAGACCGTGCAACATAATTTGCCCTTATTAAAGATCACTGTTGTAACTTTAATAAATAGACACTATATTTTGCGCCCAACTAGACAGCAGTATGAGACCCACTAATAAAGTTTATTCCATCCTCAGGGTTCATTGAGCTTGTGATTCATCAACTGCTAGAACTATTAGACAAACTACTACATAAAAGTCACCAGACTGTTAATTTAGAAGAAGGAACACACAAAACTTACCGGGTTTCGTATCTAAATCTTCTTCTGGGACCTCATCTAGGGGTTCCTCATCTGATTCAAAATCATCAGCACCACCGTATTCATCACCCATTATATATTTTGGATTAAATACCTACTGTAAAATTGTGCATGCATATATAAAGTTAGTTATTGGACGAGTACGCGTTTCATACATCATATCCAAAGTGAAACACTAATAACTGATATATATATATACGTAAGATGGTGAACTCGTACCCGTACCATCGGTAAAATTATGAAATATGGATAGGACTTATGTAGTTCGACGAGACAACTACGGTTTTTACTATATAACACTATAGCGCTGTTAAAATGAAGTTAGAAAACCCTATGTCTACACTTTTCTACTCAGCATATTGCAACAGACGGTTCCGCCCTGTTGTAGTGGAAATCGAGAAATTAATTTATGTAGACTATAGCCACTAAAAATTCACAAAATGTCTCCGTATTTTCAAATCAACTAACTTTTTGTTAACCGCCCTCATATCAATTACATATAAAGCGAGTGTTTCCTCTTTGTGATTAGAAACTCTGTTGATGTGTTTCATTTTATGAACAGATTATGCATGTGAACTAACTTCCGAATGGCAACTAGCACATATCCATTCATAACATATTTATTCATAGTGTGACAAAACACCGACATTGCCCTATTTTAACTTGATATATCTAATTATTTAACTGGCGAATTTAAAGTATCATAGACAATGTCTTTCAAAAGGACCTCCAAGAACCGATCAAACACAGGGAATGCTATGATATGCCATTCCAAACGAAATCATGCCTACTTTTGTACTTGGAGAGAATAGATACAGTATTCTACTTATTTACTAGGTACTTTTTCTGCAAATCTATACTGTTAAGTAGGGTTATGGCTTTTAAGATAAAGGTTTTGGGTCTAGAGTTAAAGTTAGGGTTGGGAGTATGGTTAGAGTAGGGAGCATATTGGATAGTAGTGTCAGAATTATCAATGGATCTCAAAGTACCATAACCAACAGTCACCTGGGTATATTGTGCACGGTACGATTTCCCTACTGACTCTGATTATTGACTGAGACTTACAACACATAAGCAACAACTATGGTGTAATATCAAGTTTGCAAATATTTAAGTGTGCAGCAATTATGAGTTTTTGTATCTGAAGTCTGATTGGTTGCTCAAGGTCACTACGCCTTTGGCTATGATAGTTTAACATAGGCAGCGATTACAATACAGATATTCAACGGATATTATTACCGATGTTATATACACCCTTCACTTTGTATCGTAATGAGACTTCTTCAGCATGAATACTTACTATTAACGAAGCCTTGTTTATATCATTGAGTGTGACTTCTACATACTTAAATTCTTACACATACATATACATTAGTATTTATCGATGATAATGTTACTTTTGTGTATTTGAGACGCATTTTCACCCTAATTGTTAATAAACTGTGCACCAAGAACCAGGAGGTTTAAAATCGCAAAATAACAACAAGAAGCTCTAACCTCAAGAGAAGATGTGAAGCGGTATGAAGTAACGCAAACAGTCAAAACTGCCGCAAAAAGATATATTATGTAACAAAGGTGTGCTAACCAACTGAAATTTATTGTATTTCACTCGATGTTTATTTATGGCCCTGTGTTTTTCACGGAACCGATTTCTGTGCCAATATTGAACACAGTAAGTGCTTAAGTGGCAGTTTATTTTATATGAATACATAATCTGTGAGTGAACTTGTCCGTCATGTTCAAGGCCATTCATGGAGTAGGGCACCTGTAGGTCATGATCGTCCATGTTAATCATCCATGGTTGATTGCAATTGTCTAACGGTTCGTTCACATATTCATTTTTACGTTTATCCTGCAGTTATCCGCAACTTATATTGATGCTCATTGTTCACAAATGTTGCGTTTCACCTCAATTTTGTTTCCGTTGCTTTTAAAATTAGTTACTTCGTCGGTTTCGAAAGTTGTTCAGATTCAGGTTATAAGGATAGAAGGCCCTCATTACCTATGTTAATCCTCGAGATATATATCTCTGCAGAGATCCGGTTTCTCTTTGAAAGCGTTCACCGATGGAGCTGTTACTACTGAATCAGGTAATGAGTTCCAGTCGTTGACCACTCTGTGAGAGAATCTAAACTCCAAACGTATTTTATTCGACCGCGGTTTGAGCACCTTCTTCTGGTGACCCCGTAAATGTATCCTAGAGGGAGAGAAAAGGTTTGAAAGGTCAATCCCTAAATCACCCTTGAATATACGGTAAGCCAAAATTAAGTCGCCTCTCCTCCTTCGGTATGATAATGGTAAGAGATTTATATGCTCCATCCTCTTATCATAAGGAAGGTGTGAGATACCACTAACTAATTTTGTTCCTACCCTCTGTACTCTTTCCAGGGTATGTGCCTCCTTTTTAAAGCATGGACTCGCCGCTTGTATGCAGTACTCTAGATGAGGCCTGACATATTTTGCATAGAGTACTTGGAACATACCCTCGTCTAATCGTTTGAAAGATCGTCGAAGTGCACATAGCATTCGAAAAGCCCTAGCTGCGGCTCGATTACAGTTCGCCGTTGCTTTAAGTCATGGCTAACAATAATTCCTAAGTACTTTTGTTCCCTAACATCTGGCAGTTCTGTGTCCCTCATGGAGTACGACGTGTAAGACTTCTGACCTAGGTGCATTACCGCGCTTTTCTTGGAATTAATTTCCAGACTCCAAAGGTTAGCCCATTCGGTTAATTTGTCTAGATCGTTTTGTAGTACCAACCTATCATCGTTACTATTTACGGTTTTCCATATCTTAATATCGTCCGCAAATAGTAAGGAAGATGAGGTAAGAATTTTTGGCACTTCATTTACGTATGATAAGAATAGCAGGGGGCCAAGTACCGTTCCCTGAGGTACTCCACTTAGTACTGCTTTCCACTCTGACAGTACACCACTGACCCTTACCTTCTGCCTCCTATCCATCAAGTAGTCACTAAACCACTCGCATAAGCGTTGGTTTAATCCAAAATGTTTAAGTTTACTAAGAAGACCTAAGTGGGATACCTTGTCGAATGCTTTACTAAGATCGATAAATACAACGTCCAGTAGATGGTTTTTATCCCTGGCCTCGACCCAATCTTCCCTAGCTAACAGTAAGTTTGTCAAGCAGGATCGTCCTGGTCGAAATCCATGCTGTTCCACTGCCAGTAAGCCATGTTTTTCCGTATGAGCTAAGAGCTGGTCCCTTATGAGTTTTTCTAACACCTTCGCTATAATGCAGGTCAGACTTGCAGGCCGGTAGTTAAATACTAACTGTCTATTCCCATCTTTGAAGATGGGGCTTATAAAAGCATCTTTCCAGTCTCTGGGTAACCTAGCCTGGGTCAGAGACATCTGAAAAATCTCCGTAAGTGGAATGTATATTATATCCGCCAGGGAGCTTAGCAATCTAGGGTGAAGTCCGTCTGGTCCAGGTGATTTACTTGGCTTCAACTTAGACAGTAGTTTCAGAACCATTGCATTTTAAGGGCTACACCAGTTACCTCGCTACACCCCTGGTTGGTACGATTAGGCGAGATAAGATCACAAAAGTATTCGTGGAGCTCCTCAGCTTTTGTTTCGTCTGATTCTGCAGCCTCTCCTGTGTTGCTAATGAGGGACGGTATGCCACTACTAGTTTTAGTCCTACGTTTGATGTACGAGAACAGTCTTTTTGGATAATGCACACAATCCAGTACTAACTGTCTCTCATACTCTATACGACTTTTGTCAATCTCATACTTGCAAAGGTTTCGAACTTTGCGGTATTCTACTCGAAACTCATCCCTCCCAGTCACAGCAAACCGGTCCCATAAGTTCTTTCGTTTTCTTAGTAACCTCCTTATTTCATTACTAATCCAAGGTGGTTTATGAGATAATTTTCGAGGCGTAGACCAAGGTACAAAGGGTGCAGTGACGCACTCTAGTGTATTCCTAAATCCCATCCAAGCCTCCTCGACAGTCTGGTGTGTGTTAACAGACCAGTCAGCTAGGGTTGCTGCATTTCGGATTGCAGGTGTATTCGCTTTCCAAACGTTTGGGCGAGCGGCAGTCGACCTATATATGACGGCCTGGATCCTAAACATAAAAGTAATAACTATGTGATCACTACTGCCTAGCGGCGCCAGGCACCTAATGTTACCAACATCCTCCTTCTGGTGTGTTAGCACCAAGTCTAGAGTGGACGGATCATGTTCAGGATGGTATCGTGTTGGTGCATACATATGCTGCACAAGTGCGCATTCAAGTAATGCCAGTATTAGTTCCCTATTGAAACAATTGTACGAAGTAGTTGATATTAATTCCTCCCAATTAATATGCGTGGCATTAAAATCACTTACTATTAGACACCTATTCTTTCTACTCCACGTCCTGAGGTGATTTATAACGAAATTGTCAGCTTGGCTGGTAGGACTTCTATAAATAACCCCTATCGTTACAGTGCCTTTGTTCAAGTTAATGACACAACCTGCGGCTTCGCAGGTGCCACTGTCATGAGCTTCCGACAACGTCGACCTAATTCCTATGTCATCTCGAATGTATAGAGCGACCCCCCACCTTTCCGGCTACTTACTCTGTCTGCTCTAATGCAGATGTACCCAGGTATGAGTGGAGTTAAGTCTATACCCATTAACAACCATGTTTCGGTGATAGCAATCACATCCGGCTGTAGTTCCTCAGTCAACACTCCTAGTTCAGGAAGCTTATTCCTAAGACTACAAGCGTTCGTGTAGCATACTGAGAGACCTATGTGTTCACTCGACTTATGAACAGAGGTCTGGGTAACATAGGTTTCATGTCAGTTACCATGTCAGTTCATTCATTTCACTGTGACAGTTTCATACGTTGCTTTCATGAGTGGTTTTAGTGTTTTAGTTTTTTATCAGCTATTTATGGAATAGTACTGTGTAGAAGTTTTTGAGATTATGCACACGAACATGTTTGGCTGGCAGAAGCTGTTGCTTCCTGCTCATTTGTTGGTTGCAGTTATTGCTGCTGGCTGAAATGGTTACTTAATATGTAGAAATCTGTAAAAAACAATATCTTCCACATCCATGTTTACAGCAAGCAGCAATCTACGAGTCAATCTGTTGAGGACAGTGTGATCCCAGCTGATATTAGCAAAGTTCTCGAAGAACATATTAAACCTGGAGAATTTAGAACCTGAGTTGAGGTGGAGAAAGCTCTGAAGCTTTTCGACAAGGTGAGTATATCATCAGTGTGTCTTTTATCAGTTAAGAAATCAGCTATATTGTGAGAGAATCTAAATGAAACAAGGTTGAGCCACATGAAAAGTCTGAATCTGTTGTGCTCGTATGTATTTTTGGGAACAAAATGAAGCTGGAATGCAATCAGAAACCTCTAAAAGGTAAGTGTTACATATGTTTATCAATGCCTAATGTGCTAGATCCAAATACACGAACTAGGACTGCCTGTAGTAAAGCCAATGTTAACAGCCATTCAATATGTTGCAAAACGATTTGATTAGCGGATAATATACAATGATCTGGTGAGTGTACGAACTATCCCAGTTTAAGGTAAGACTTTAATTTCCAAGAATAACGTTTCTGGTTGTGGTATACAATCAGTGGCTCTCTCGAAGTTACAACAAGCTGAGAACTTGAATCGAAATCCGTTCTGAAATGGTCTCACAGGACATATTAAGCATTGATTAGCCTTACTTCAGAACGAAAAGATTTACTTCAGCCCATAGTGCTAATTTTTTTTCAGCTTAATCTATAAATTGATAGTAACAATAATAAAGCTGACTGGATTCAGTTCTCATAATCAACGCAATACATGTTTGTAATCACACTACATACTGAATTAACTCACTAAGTGAAACAGTAGGGAAATTAAAACGAGTAATTGCCTTCTCTACTGCACTGCACTTGCAACAATCAAGAGAACCGCCTACATTTGTTAGCCTAGCAGTCAATCAAGCAGGCAACGGCACAATATTAGTGAAGTATAGATGTTTTACATTGAATCCACATAACCCATATTGTACTGCACCAATCGGTGCAAAAATATATTAAATCCACTTAGAGATAACCTTTAAACTTACGATAATTCCTGTCCAAGCACACATACTGTGAAAGACACATCTGCATGATAACTTCTTTTCCCTCAGGTGGTTCTGTTAGCATTTACAGGTGATTTCCATGTACTGATAGCATTCTTTTGTCAAAAAGGCCTATTCTTCACACGAAAATAGCTAGTGATATCCTGAGACATGAGGTCTTCATTGAATGATGCTATGCCGGAAGGTACATCTTCTACATAATGTAAACTATTTGTGTAGATGACACTACCTTACAACTATCCCATCTTGCTCATTATAGCGCTATTCTGACCTAGTCCGCCTGAATCACTAATCATTGCAACCAATATGCTAAAAGTGTGTATCGCAGTCAGACCACATAACGCGCACAGCAACATAACTAGTCAGGAAATGAGAATTCCCGCCAATCAAGATAACATATAACACAATTTCGTTAAAACTTATTGACAAAAATTTTTAAAAACGAAATTTCCACCCAAC